ATCCTTTGTAACGATCTTTTGCATTCTTCATGTACGATTTTCTTGATATCCTCCCAGAGCCCATTTGGTCTATGTTCATGGGTGCGTAAGGTCTCAAACCTGTTCCTGAGATGGTTTTGAAGTGGGACAGACTGAAGGTTAAATTTTGGTTCCCATGGACTTGATTTAATTTTCCTCAACTTCAGCTTGAACTTGCATATCAGTAATTGGTAGTCTGTGCCACAATCAGCACCCGGCCTGGTTTTCACTGCTGATATTGAGCTTCTCCACCGAGTTTTCCACAAATATAATCGATTTGATTCCTATGCATACCATCAGGTAAGATCCATGTGTATAACCTGCGTTTATGTTTCTTATAAAAGGTATTTGCAATGAATAAATCATTGAATGTGCAGAACTCTATCATTCTATCTCCAGCCTCATTTCTCTCACCGAGCCCATATTTTCCAGCCACTGAACCTTCTTCTCTGTTCCCAACTTTTGCGTTCCAGTTGCCCATTATTATCAATGCATCTTGATTGCATGTTTGATCACCTTGTATGCATATGGATATTATCCTATCGCTCACCACATTGTATTTCAGGATGGATCTAGAAATGACTTTTTTAATTATGAAACCAACCCCATTTTTTCTCACTTTTTCATCCCGGGCATAGTAAATCATATAACCGTCTGATTCAAAATGTCCCATGCCAAGCCATCTCATTTTGCCTATTCCTAGTATGTCAATATTTATGCGTTCTATTTCTTTCTTAACAATGTCCAATTTTCCTACATTAATGCTTCTCACATTCCGTGTTCCAATCACTAGTGTCTGCTTACAGATGTTCCTTCTTCCCTGTATTTCTAAGATCTCAGTCTCAATTGCCATGTTTGCTAGTCCTAGCAATAGTCTACGTGTGCTCTACTGTACATAGGGTTTTCGAAGGCCTGTCTTTTAGGAAGTGGATGGCCAATCCTTCTTCCTAGTCTGTCTCAATCTTTAAATATATATAATAGTATCTGACAGACAAGCATTCCACAGAAAAGAACCAATGAAAGACAATTGCCCTGTTATGACAATGACCAATAGATTCAGTGTTACAGCCCACCGTTGCTTTCTTACTTCACCACCATCTCTTCCTCCTTTTACCTACACCATTCAATACCCATCTCCCATTGACCAGCCCCTGATGTGATGGCCTAAGTCTCAAGCCATCAGGATTTCTGTGATTCTGATCATATCATGCTGCTATGCATATCTTATGATGAAGCCAGTATGACTTCAACTTAAAGTTCATAAGTACAACTGTAATGTGCAACTTCCATTCCAGGATTGCCTTCTCATGGGTTAAAACCACTTGTCTTCCATTTGAGGCCAGATTGATAAACAAGAACTGAAAGAATAAGAAAGGAGGTTGTTACTGAGCTCTTGTTGTCAAGATAATACACCAAGTTCAATTATACCAATTTCTGGTATAATTACATAAAATACCTGTGCAACCAAATGCTAGTGAAAATGTGGAGTAACACAACTCTACTGATGGGAACATAGAATTGGTACACCCTCTTTGGAAGAAAGTCTGGCAGTTTCTTAAAGTTAAAGATAAGCTTGCCATATTACTTGTAATCATGCTCCTGATCATTTACCCAAATGAAATGGAAACATATGCTTATGTAAAACTCTGCTTATCAATGCTTATAGTAGTTTTAAACTAATTGTAAAAAAATAAAAACAACCAAGATGTCCTTCAATAGGTCAATTCATAAGCAAACAATGGTAAAAATCATAGGATGTTGTTGTCGTTATATACCATGGACCTAGAACCGACACATAGCTGACATTCCAGTGGGTTTTCTGAGGTAGTAAATCACAAAGGAGATTGCCATCTTTCTTCAGTGAAGCAGCTGGTGGATTTGAACCTCATGCCTTTGAGTTGGCAGCACAACAACTCCTTACTGCTAAGCCACTAGAGCTCCCTTAATCATATGACAGTGATAACAAAAAAGGGGGCTATTGAGTAATGAAAAAATATGAGGGAAACATAAGCATATTACAGGATGAAAGGTGTCAATTGGTATGACTTCAGAATGAAAGAAGTCAGTGAGTGCAGTCAGCTACATATTATCTGACACCAACTGCTATTCTGGAGAGGCAAAAATATAAAAAAAAAAAAA